TGACTAAACTTCCATATAATGATGTCACTTCTCTTTTCAACATGGAAAATGGAAGAGAAAATAGATGTAATTATGTTGGCAATTTAAGTAAAACAAAAAATAGCCAGATACTCAGGTCAAAAGGGAACTGGAGGTTTGAACTGTGCAGAAAGCAATCTGAGTTCTCAATTTCACTTCTCCAAGAATACAAAGCACTTTTTAAGTGAAGTTTATTGAACAGAGATTTCCAAATATTATGTCTAGAACCCAAAATGAATTCTCTCTTTTCTATCTAAGCAAAAAGTGGTATTAATCAAGGCTATGTTAGTTCTCCTGTGTTATTCAAATTTGTGGAGACTAGTGCTTTTTATAAGCTGTCAGGCAAGGTATTCTCAGAAACATGAAAGTATAATTTCTACAGGTTTCTACTTCCTTTGAGCCTCTGGAGGAGACAAGTCACTATCGTGAGGAACATAGATAACAATTCCCGGAGATTTGGTTTTTGTCTTCTACCAGCAAACTCATGGACTTCCCTAGTGGTTCAGATGGTAAAGAGTTTGCCTGCAATGCAGGAGATCCAGGTTCAATCCCTGGGTCAGGAAGATCCCCTGGAGAAAGGAATGGCTACCCACTCCAGTATTCTTGCCTGGAGAATTCCATGGACAGAGGAGCTTGGTGGGCTACAGTTTATGGGTCCCAAAAAGTGGGACACGACTGAGCAACTAACATTTTCACTTTTAGTGAACTCATACCCTCTGAGAAGCTGCCTCTCTTCCCAGGTTTCAGCAATTTCCTTGCTGCATTTGTTCTTATTTCTGCTTTGCTGTTTTATATTGTGTAGTGCTTCTGGCCTGCTGTCACTGCTGATGACTTCACTCAGTCACCTCCTTGGCCACCAGCACCCTCAATACCAAGCCTGCAGGATGTAGATCCAATCAGTACTTTGATGCCAAGGCTTCTGCTGTTTCACCTGATAAGGGGCGGGGGAGATAATTCACCATAATTTTCAAGCACATTACTGCCCACCAACTCATGGCCCTGTTTTTTCTCTATTTGATCTGTATTTTTAGCTAAGGTGAAAGAGGACCCCCTGCTCACAAGCCCCTACCTCAAGACATTAAATATTTCAAAATAATTGTGGAGATTATCAAATTGTGTGATATTTGTATTTATTCATTTCCTTAGTTCTGCCTAAAAAGAGAACATTAGGACCTGCTCTCTTTTAGTGGTGTGACACATATTGATGTTGTGTTTGCAACCTTACCAGCTGTGATGGTTCATTTTGTATCAATTTGACTAGGCTACAGCTTGCCCAGACATTTGGTCAAACATTACCCTGGGTGTGTCTGTAGGATGTTTCTGGATGAGACCTAATATTTGAATACACAAGTAAAGCAGACTGCCCTCCCTAATGTGAGTTGGACCCCATCTATTCTGTTGAAAATCACTACAGTGATTTCCTATTCAGTTGAAAATCAGTATAGAACAAAAAGTCTATCTCTCCCATGACTAGGAGAAATTCCTCCCTGAAAGGCCCAGGAAGGCCTGACGGCCTTTCTCACTGGGACACTGGTTTAGTCTTTCCTTAAGAACTGAAACAAGAGCTCTTCTGGGGGCTTAAGCCTGTTGCCTTTCAGACTGGAAACACCTCATCAGCTTGCCTGGGTCCCATCCTGCCCTTGGTAATCTTGGGACTTGTCAGCCTCCATAATAATGAAAGCCAATTCCTTAAAAGAAATCTCTCTATATACATACATCCTATTAGTTCTTTTCCTCTAGAGAACCCTAAAACACCCACTAACCCTGGTATTTGTTTTGTTTACTACCCAAGTATATATTTTTTTAAATTACAGATTTGGATTGCTTTGTACTAAATGCCTCCCCACTCATAAATAATTGAGGAACTTCATTTTCGAAAGCAATTGATCTATGGTCAGCTTGCTGTTTCCCTTATAAATATAAAATGAAAGCAAATGCGTGCCAGCCTAACAGCCCCCACTGCCCTGCAGAAGGCTCTCCACCCTGTTACAGCCCTCTCCTACCAAGTGCTCGGAAGATCCTTCAGATTAGGCCTCCTGTGTGCCTGCAAACAAGTGTCTCCCATATACTTCTCTCCTGCTCTTTTCCAGCTTCTAGAAATTCTCTGCCTCACATTCTCCAGAGGGAATAATGCTGCTTCATGGACCATGATGTCTGTGCTGCTCCCAAAGCTAACTGCCAATACCTGAGGACCCAGAGAAACTCACTTCTGTAAGACTGGATTCTCCCTAAGTGAGGAAAAGGATTTCTCCTCAGTGCTATGTCATATTCCAAAACAAGGAATGACAGCCAGACCCTGACAGAACTGTCATGAGAGACTATGCAACTCTGGGCTGAAGCTGAGTTCCTGTCTTTCCAGTTTTTACTTTCCCCTCAGAATTTAAAAAAAAAAAAAAAACATAGGCTCAGTTTTAATCAGAGCTCAAACTCAAGGTAAAGTACTTCTTTACCCCCGGCTGAGCTCATGAATATGCTCCCAGCACAGGGCTGCTGAAACGGGGTGGAGAGGCAGGCTTCATCTCGCCTACAGCTACTGCCCTTCCCAGGTGCATTAGGCAGCTTATTTCAAGTTCCATCTTTCTGAAAGTTTGTAACAGTAGGAATAGAATATTGAGAGTAGACACAATGTATTTCCATTATAGCTTAAAAACAACATAAGAAGTATATCTTAAAAAAAAAAAACCAACAAAAAGAGTCACTTTTTAAAAGATCTCCATTTACAATTATTTTATTAAACAATCATCTTTTACATGTCATCACACCTTACCCCTGAAGTGCAAAAAACAGTTTGAGGTATTATAACTGAAGGAATATTTGCACATATTTTGTAAGGTTTTCACACTATAATAACTGGAATATTCAGTATAACTAAATGCTACATATAACTGCAGGTTTATAAGAATAAAGCTATTTAAAGCAAACTGGTTTGTCTCATTATAGCTTTGGACCACACATTCATAACATTAAAGGTGGAAAAAATAATATGTAATTTAAGTTGCTTGCAAAGTGATATGCCCATTATTCTGTTTTAGAGAACAGTCTAGAATTCAAAAGGTTAACCACTGAAATGGTAGTGATCCCCAAAGCACAAAAACCAAACTGACAAACCAGTTTCAATGACATAATGTCCTATTCACGGGATTTAATACTTAGATCAATGGCAAGTCACTTACAGTATCTGAAACAGATTTACCAGAATATTCCAATGCTATCCATGTACATGGAGGGTCATATAAATAGCATGGCTCATGCTTTTTTGTAAGATTTTTCCCTTTATGTTAGTAAATAAACTGCTAATACAGACAAAGTTCAGACTGGTTACTTCAATCATTTTGAAGTTATTTTGAAGTAACATGAGGAAGAGGAGATTGGCTTTTTAAGTCTTAGACTTTGTTATCCTGAAGAAATTGCCCAGAGACTTTATAGATCCCACTTCCCTCTGATTGTGTCTATTCCTTGAAAGAGAAAGTTGAAGCGGTTATTACTCTACATCTAATTAGGGTAATACAAATACTTTTTTCTGAACAGTTCAGGAAAATTGGAGAAAAAGTGTTTTTTTTTTTAATTTGATAACTGATTTAACTATTAACTTCAGTGCACAGGCACTTCATTTGAAACAGATCTAGTTTGAAACAGATGCATTTGAAACAGATGCATAGTGCTTTGCATCACAAACTTGTTTGGTAAAATTGAGTCCTGAATAATGGGTCACAAATGTTAAATAGCAACTAGTCTCTACAGCAGTTTTTACCATTATAAACAGCACTTTTAGTAGCTGCACATGCTAGGTTTTGCTGTTTATCATTGAGTTGTTTTATTTGCTCCGCTGCATGAATAAATTAGACAAAGGAAAGGTTGATTTTTTTTCTGTAAGAATATAGGTTTAAAATTTGGCTTTTTAAAACGTTTCCAAAACTGATAAAAAGTAAACTGCTTCTTGTAGTTTACTATTAGAGGAAAACACTATTTCTGAAAAAGTAGGCCTCCTCCAACTAGAAAAGAAACATTTTTCCCCCCATGGAGATCCCAACAAAGTTCTGCAAAACACATGTAACCTGTTTCCTCTTTGTTCTGGGGAAAGAAAGGAACCTAGGTGGTTAAAAGCCTGCCCAGGAACACTAGGCTTGTGTGGGGACAGTGTCCTCCCCCACAATCACTGCTTGTCTTCCCACATGATGGTTCCTGAATTAAGAACAGCCTGCAGTTGTTGCAGAACTGCAGCGGCAGCTAGGGGTTTACCTGGAAGCAGAGTGAACACGTGCTGATGTGCTCGCCTGAACCAGGAGAAAACTGATCGCAGCTTCTTCCACCAGATGAATGATGATCAAGTGCCACTTAGCATCCTTTAGAGGCTAACAACTACTTTCACTGTTTGTTGCACAAATGGATGCTCCCTCCAGGTTAGGATATATTACCCAAGTTTTTATTTTTTGGTTTTTTCATGTATGTTTTCAGACATGGAAATCACCCAAAAACGTAGGAGGTCATAGAATGAGAAATTAAATCTCAGGTGTCCAAATTGGCTAATCCAATTAAAACCTATCCCCAAGCTGCAGTTATCTGAATAAACAAAAAACAACTTTCATTTCAGGACTATANGGTTTCTTCATGATGTTTTCAGACATGGAAATCACCCAAAAACGTAGGAGGTCATAGAATGAGAAATTACATCTCAGGTGTCCAAATTGGCTAATCCAATTAAAACCTATCCCCAAGCTGCAGTTATCTGAATAAACAAAAAACAACTTTCATTTCAGGACTATATATGCAAATCTAAGTGCCATCACAATGGTTTTTAATACTTAGGGGGTAAAATGCAACAAATATTTTTTTCTATGGCCACCTTTTCCCTCCAAAACCGATAGCGAAAAGAAAATTGAAATGAACTGAAATAATGGCAGATCTTGTAAGATCTAAATCCTGAATGTTGATTCTTATTGTCAGTATACCCAGAGGTGCCATACAAATATTGCCATACAACATTATCAAAATTCTCTCACTATTGTTAATGCTAACAAGCTACACTGAAACCTATCCAGCCTGCAAATACCAAATGCTGGCTGGCATTCAACTGCAGTCACACACTGTAGCATCAGTGAAACCCTCTCTGGAGAGCAGGGGCCTGTGAGAGTCAGTCAAAGACTGGGTTTCGTATGCCATTCAACACCAAGCTGGTGGGCGCCCTCCTGTGTAACAGGGCCAGTGAGCACAGAAGCAGGGAAAAGCTCATGACTCCCAGAATGACCACTCCTGATATCAGGGCACTGGTGACAGCGTTCAGCTGAAAATGAGGTTCATTCGCAGAACCTGCAAGTAATAAACACACTCAGTGAGAAGATCCAACATCAGATTTATCTTAACTTATCCAATTTATGCCTGCAAAGCATCTGTCAGCAGTATCTTGTAGAATAATAGCATCAGATTATGCTACAATTTATTTGACTTCAATTCATTACCCAAAACTGTCAGTCATTCAGTCATGTCCAACTCTTTGCGACTCCATGGCCTGTAGGCTGGCCAGGCTTCTCTGTCCGTGGAATTCTCCAGGTAAGCATAATGGATTGGGTAGCCATTCCCTTCTCCAGGGGATCTTCCTGACCTAGGGATTGAACTTGGTCTCCTGCACTGCAGGCAGATTCTTTATGATCTGAGCTACCAGCTACCAAAGCATTGTACAATTTAGAGGCCTGGTATCCCCTGAGTAGTCAAAAATTTCATTTATAATATGCTATAAAAATTGACCAACAGATTGCATATGAGTTCAGAAATTCTCAGTGAACTGTTATTTAAAATGCAATAAACTTGTAAAACTAGAGCTCATTATATTTAGTTGATGACAGCTTTGCAACTAATTACCAAAAAATACTTAACATTTTTTAAAAATTATACTTTCACTTTCAACATATGTTAATTATCTTACCAAGCTGTGAATTGTTGGTTGGCGTCTCATCTGAGGGGAAGAAAAGAGAAACAAAAGTAATATTGTGTCTCCAAATATTTGCCAATGTCTAATTCTGTAATTGCTTTTTACCTATATGTCCCCTCACCTTCATCCACAAGCTCTTTGGGAAAGGCAATAATGAAAGTCTCCTAGACTGTCTGCTTTCTCATTTCCTGTTCCACATGTCCAAGATTTCTTCATCTATCCATTCCTCCATATCTATACTCTGACACTGCTCTGGGTGTACAAATAAAATCGTAAAACATACTACACTAAATTCTTTCCTGCTGACTTCACTTTATCATTATATCTCCAGTCAGGTTAGTGGGGGCAGTAATTGTTAACAGCTACTATTAATACATTTTTTAGAGCTGTATAACCTGCTATTTATTATTCTTTTATAGAGAAATATTCATTATTTAGTGCCACTCTATTTTAAGTGATGCCAATTTTTCCATCATATTCTGCAAAAAGCATCAAGTTCCAAATAGATAAATTCATACTTAATAACTAAATGGAGGGAAAACATGACTCTTGAGCTTGAGTTGTAATTATTTGCATTTGTTAAGTAAGAGACTGAAGCTGTTGGTTCTTCACTTTTCCCTGACAAACATAACAGATGCAGTGAACACATTCATTTGGTTTCCCAGTTTTTGTTACCCACTTTTTAATCATATAGCAATTAACCCTTGAACTTATACAGCAAGTGGATTTTATATTTGTGTTTAAACACGTGGGTGTATATGTGTGTCTATACTATTTGAATCACAAAATGTGTGCAGTTGGCTAGTGCTTCTGGAATATAAATATTATTACAATTAATATGTGTGTAATGCCACACAGTATACAAAATGCCATCTCATATGTTATCACATTTAATTTTCATAATTGCCATATGGTTTAGATATTATTGCTACTCCCATTTTACAGATGAAGAAACTTCCATCTGTCACAGCCTTTATAATAAAGTAAACATATGCTTAAATAAAAGCTCAGTTTCAGAGTCCTTTTCCTAAAATAATATAAACTAGCAAGTGTGAAAAATGTTTTTAGTAAAAAAAGATAAATATCTCAAGCGACAAAACTCCGGGATTAATATTTGAAACAACTGATGGGAGAAGCTTGTGAGATGTTTATAGAACAGCTGATGGCATTTCTTTTCAAACATATGAGTGTTGGCAGAAATGATGGTTCTGCTGTTTGATCCTGAAGTACAATGTCCAAAATAAATAGAGCATTCATTCATACTATTCTTTAGAATGGTGTAATGCATTGCTGGGACAAAAAGAAAAAAATTACCAGTTTTCATTATAAGACATGTTTAGCAAAATCCTAACCTCCAACTAACACTGTCCTACGAGGACAGCTGCTTCTCATGGAAACAGATAGAATGTGCACACTGTGATTCATTGATCCAAAAGATCTGTGTGCCCCTTTCCCAAAACAGGATGCCTCACGAGGATAGGGAAGAGAATATCTAATGCTCTAAAATTCCTTCCTAAAAGTTATTCTTTGTTTAGGAATTGCATTTATTTACTCTTTAAAAAAAGGTTTCTATTAAAGAGTAAAAAGCTTCCTCCTATATATCTCAAATTAAGCAAAAGTTCCATGAATGTAATGACCTATTTTCTGCACTTTCAGATTAACAGAAGAAATCAGAATATCCCCTCCTCTTTTATGTTACTACCAGCACTTCTGTAAGAACAACATTCCAGCTGTAACCCACAAGGACTTGGATGTGGACAAAATCTCCATGTGGGGACAAAAGTGCCAAATGACCTACATCAGCTGCAGGTTCCAGGACTCTGAAAATCTGAAAGCATCCTACCTTTGGCAGATGGCTACAATCAGAATGTGTAATATTTGGATATTGCTTGCAATTGTACTTGATAACTAAATAAGGTTAGAGAGAATAAGGTTATCTGTTATCTGCTGTTTCCTGGTGTCCTGCAATGTTAGGATCATTGCAATTAAAAGAAAAATCAAAGCTCTCTCTAGAAAGAGGTGGTAGTGATTTTCCAGGAACTTTCTATCACCACACACTTCAGTTTTTTTTCTCACACCAACTTGGTCTTACACACATCTACACTAAAAGTCATCTTATGAAATTTGACCAGATTGGAAGTCTAAACCTGGTGAGATCTTCAAAAAGTATATAGCTAGCTGAGGACTCATAGTAGGAAAGTATAGCAGCAATACCACAGCTGCTTAAAAGCCAGATGTGGCAGATAGATTGTCATTCTCTGCTTCTCTCTCAGATAAGTAGCTGAAATAAATGGAAAACATGAACATCCGCACAAAGATATAACAGAATGAATATTCTCCTTTCTGAGCACAAGCAAACTATTTTTTTTTTAAAGTCTTCGATTACCTATGTGGTAAAATGAACCACATATTTCAAGTTGAGAACCTTGGAAGTTTTTACTCTCCACTGTGTCATGGAGTAGCCATTTCATCTCTACCTTTGAATTCTAAGATCCCCGAGGGCAAAAACTGTGACCTCTTCTCTGCTTTATTTCCAGTTCCTAGAAGAGTTGCTGTCCATGCAGGGACTAAATAAATAGGCCAGAGTGAATTATTCCCTATCCATGAAACTCAATGACACTAGTTTAACAAGAGTTTGGCTTGGACTTCTCCACAGGAATCTATATTAAAAAAAAAAAATAGGCACTATTGTTTTTCAGTAATTGTACCTTTAAATTTCCAGAACTGTGCCCCATGATAAGCGTTTCCCTACCAAATAATTATAGCCTTTCAGAGCCTAAAATAAGAACATTTCATGAACTTTGAGGATTTTGAATTCTGAGGATGTATATATTTTTCTAAATCAGCTAACAAAAGATAAACAATATGGGGTAAAAAAATAACCAGAATGAACTTGATTTCATTAAAATAAAAACAAGATGGAAGTACTGAGGTTTAACAACTCTTTAAACTTGACCCAAGCCAGATGTCTTCGGGAAGGAGTGGTTCAGTGAGTAAACAGAGCAAAAATTCCAAGTATCAGAGAACTCTGAAGCGAGGAAATCATGCCTGAAATTAGACTTGTTTTTGAAAATCAGCCACAGGATCTACAGAGAGAAATTCTAGCTGAACTAAGGTAAAAATAAAGTGAAACTAAGGGAATAAGGTAGCCCTGGTCATTAAACTGGACATTTAATTTATATAGAATTTGCCTGCGAATGGATATGGCTTGATTTCTGCGTCCTGTTTGTTGTTTAGTTGCTAAGTCATGTCTGACTCTTTTGCAGCCTCATGTGCCCACCAGGCTCCTCTGTCCATAGGATTTTTCAGGCAAGAATACTAGAGTAGGTTGCCATTTCCTTCTCCAGAGTTGTGTTTACATGGAATTAATTTTTTTTAATTGTAAGGATATTATAGTATTATAGCAAAAACATTATTACACATGGTCCTCTAGGTAGTGAGGCCACCGTGATATCCAAATAAAGACCATCCTACTGTTATTTATCAAAATCATGAGAAATAAATCCACAGAGAGTGAGAGAGAAATGAAGTTTAAACATGATCCGTGGGGCTGTACCAGTGGAGAGACCAGGTGACTAAGAGACAACCTTAGTGCTTTGGGAAATAAATGTCATCTTTGAGGTGGAAACAAGTCTCAGTTGGAAAGGAAGAAATTCAGGCATGACATCAGAGGTACTGTTATCAAAAGCATTAGTTCTTTGAGGTTTTACCATAGATATTTTGGATGACTAGACATGATATGGATGAAACTTATAAGCCTGGATAGCTGGTCAGCTACAGCAGGAATAGAAACTGCTACTGGGATTTGGATATCTAAATAATTTTGGTCTGTTTTTAAAATCATATTATACTGAAAGTGAAAGTGTTAGTCACTTAGTCATGTCCAACTCTTTGAGACCCTATGGACTATAGTCTGGCAGGCTTCTCTGTCCATGAGATTCTCCAGTCAAGAATACTGAAATGGGTTGACAGGGACTGAAACTGGGTCTCCTGCATTGCAGGAGGATTTTTTACCACTGAGCCACCAGAGAAGCCCTATATTATAATTGCAAATTATTTAAAATTTGTTATAGGTAGTTTGATTTGATCCATGTAAGAAAGAAGCAAGGAGGTTAATAAGGAGGAAAGTCATCCACTTTCCTACATCTCACATGCACAGAGAGATGTGACTTTCAAGGTTCTTTTCTTACAACAAACTGAAATGCTCTATGGAAGTAAGAATATTTTTCATTGTGCCTACTCATTCATAATTGTTGGCAATAAGAACTGAGTTTCCATGCAGTATAATTCTATGAGCTATTTCTGACAGCTAGAGATAAGAATTGGGCCTCTGACAAACCACAAACCAGTCATTTTCAAACCATTCAAAATATTCCAAATTATCAAGGAGGATGAACTAAGTTTGAAATTTTATATCTAATAAATTTATGCATTTAAAATGGCCTATTAGTTTTTTTTATTACTAATATGTCTACACAAACACAAAGAAGTAAATAATGAAAGCAATTATCTGGATTTTTCAGAACCAAATGACTTTTTGCCTAATTATCTCTTTCAGATGAAACTTTCTTTTCACTGTGGGATAGGAGGTATGGGAGAAAAGGTAAAAATAATCTAATTGAAACATAATAATAGCCTATGCCTAATGTAAAATAGGGAAAAATGATTACCATATAATCCAAATCAGAACTCTATTTTTGGTTTTAGACAAATTTAGAACAATAGCATTAGACAGAATCTGAATGTCTACTTTTTCAAATCTTTTACTTTAAAAATAAAGAAATAAAGATAAAAAAAAAGAAAAAGAAAAAAATAAAGAAACATTTGCCCAGAGAAGTGAAGTAAAATGCCAAGTCCTACATCTTATTAGGGCATAAGCTGAACTAGAACCAGTTGTTCAGACTTCAGTGTGTGTTGTTTATAATGCATGTCTGTTTTAGCCAACTCAGCAGTCCCCAGACTTTTGGCACCAAGGACCAGTTTCATTGAAGACAATTTTTCCATGGACCATGGTTGGGGTAGGAGCATGGTTTCTGCATGAGTCAGGAGAAATACATTTATTGTGTACTTTATTTTTATTATTATTCTATCAGCTTTACCTCAGATCTACATCAGGCATTAGATCCCAGAGGTTGGGGACTCCTGATCCAACTAATTCTGGATGTCTCTGGGTTCAGACTGATAAAAGCAGTATCCCTTTGGAGAGTGCGTGTAAGTGGATGTGTATGTGTATGGACACGCATGCACAGATATTTGTGTATATGAGAATATATTGCATAAACAACTGTGGCCATTAGAGAAAAGAGCACAAATGTGTGTACTGGTACCGATATTTACAAACTATTACTATTCAGGATCCTGGAAGGAAGCAACTGGTATTCAAACTGATAATTTAAGGAGATTTAATAGGACGGTTTATAAAGATGGGGGCTTCGCTGACAGCTCAGTTGGTAAAGAATCCGCCCGCAATGCGGCAGACCCTGGTTTGATTCCTGGGCTGGGAAGATCCCCTGGAGAAGGGAAAGGCTACCCACTCGTCTTCTGACCCAGAAAATTCCATGGATAGTCCATGGGGTGGCAAAGAGTAGGACACGACTGAGCGATTTTCACTTCACTCACTTTATAAAGATGGAGGGAATTCACAAGAGAAAGTCAAGTTACCAGGACTGTGGGTTAAAGGGAGGGATTCCAGGACTCTGAGAGAGTGGTTGAGTGGAGACTGTTTCCGATGGGAGCCATGTGAACCTGACACCCACCCTCTGACAGCGCCACCTATTGGTCTAGCCCAACCAGAAACTATACCTGGCAAGGCATCCATCCAGTGGATGCAGCTCACAGAGGTAAGTGTTTTAGGTCAGAGAGGCGCAGAGTAGATCCGGATGGCCAAATGAAACATGTCCAGCAGCCTATTGTGTGTGTGTGTGTGTGTGTGTGTGTGTGTCTGTGTGTGTGTGTCTGTGTGAAGGGAAATGTGGTAAATGATATTTACAAACTATTACTATTCAGGATCCTGGAAGGAAGCAACTGGTATTCAAACTGATAATTTAAGGAGATTTAATAGGACGGTTTATAAAGATGGGGGCTTCGCTGATAGCTCAGTTGGTAAAGAATCCGCCCGCAATGCGGCAGACCCTGGTTTGATTCCTGGGCTGGGAAGATCCCCTGGAGAAGGGAAAGGCTACCCACTCGTCTTCTGACCCAGAAAATTCCATGGACAGTCCATGGGGTGGCAAAGAGTAGGACACGACTGAGCGATTTTCACTTCACTCACTTTATAAAGATGGAGGGAATTCACAAGAGAAAGTCAAGTTACCAGGACTGTGGGTTAAAGGGAGGGATTCCAGAGCTCTGAGAGAGTGGTTGAGTGGAGACTGTTTCTGATGGGAGCCATGTGAACCTGACACCCATCCTCTGACAGCGCCACCTATTGGTCTAGCCCAACCAGAAACTATACTTGGCAAGGCATCCATCCAGTGGATGCAGCTCACAGAGGTAAGTGTTTTAGGTCAGAGAGGGGCAGAGTAGATCCGGATGGCCAAATGAAACATGTCCAGCAGCCTATTGTGTGTGTGTGTGTGTGTGTGTGTGTGTGTGCGTGTGCGCGCGCACGTGTGTGTCTGTGTGAAGGGAAATGTGGTAAAAAAAAACAATACTGTCCTTTGTAAGTTGAATAAAGAGGAAACTACCATGAAATTAAAGTTGTCTAGAGATATATCTTGTCTCACAGTTAATTAATGCTGTTTAGGAACTATTCTGAGTCATGGTTATAAGCTAAAGAACAAGCCATTTTGGAACCATCTATTACTACACACAAAAGAAGGCGCACTCTTACCACTCCGAGTAATGATGGGACCCGCAGAGAGAACGGCATTTCCAGAAGTACTCCGGGGACTCAGAGTGGTCCTCCTCCCCACATCTCGCCTTTCTCTGTGGCCACAAGCCTAAGGAGTTAATGAAAATAAGTGAAATTCCACACTGGCACAGAAGTGTTTCTTTATGGCCATTTGGAAAGCATATCGTTTTAGAAGAGATACCACATGTTTAATTTTATTCATTTACTTCTGTGCGTTTAATTACTTTGCATATAACCGCTACAGTGTTTCTCATCCTGACTTGGGCCACATTTCTTATTTCCTTCTGATGTAATTGTGCATCACCTCATTAATTTACATAGCTCAACAGCTCTCCTGAAAAAGAGATGTGTTTATCAAACTTTTCTACTTTTATTTCTCTCAAGCCTTTAATAAACTTTTCCCTGAAAAATTGGCCAGCATAGAGCCAAGGAAATGCAGACTCTTCATTTAACCCCACCTGATACAGAATGAATATAATTAGTGATTGTAAAGAAATACATGGATTTGAGCGCACATATCGGAGAAGGAAATGCAACCTTCTGCAGTACTCTTGCCCGGAAAATCCCATGAATGGAGGAGCCTGGTAGGCTGCCATCCATGGGGTTGCTAAGAGTCGGACACAACTGAGCGACTTCACTTTCACTTTTCGCCTTCATGCACTGGAGAAGGAAACGGCAACCCACTCCAGTGTTCTTGCCTGGAGAATCCCAGGGACGCGGGGGCCTGGTGGGCTGCCGTCTCTGGGGTCGCACAGAGTCGGACACGACTGCAGTGACTTAGCAGCAGCAGCAGGAGAGCACACGTATAAACACACTAAAGCTTTTTGTTGCTCTGTCGCTCAGTCATGTCTGACTCTGCGTGACCCATGGACTGCAGCACACAAGGCTTCCCTTGTCTCTCACCATCTCCCAGAACTTGCTCAAACTCATGCCCATTAAGTTAGTGATGCCATCCAACCATCTAGTCCTCTGTCATCCTCTTCTCCTGCCTTCAATCTTTTCCAGCATCAGTCTTTTCTAATGAGTCAGCTCTTTGGATCAGGTGGCCAAAGTATTGGAGCTTCAGCCTCAGCATCAGTCCCTCCAATGAATAGCCAGGACTGATTTCCTTTAGGATGGACTGGTTGGATCTCCTTGCTGTCCAAGGGACTCGCAAGAGTCTTCTCCAACACCACAGTTCAAAAGCATCAACTCTTCAGCGCTCAGCTCTCACATTCATACATGACTACTGAAAAAACCATAGCTTTGACTGTACAGACATTAAAGCTATTTTAAATCAAAAAACATGACTGCATTTTTCTCAGGTTAATACTGCACTTGTGTGTGTATTCTCAGTCACTCAGTCGTGTCCAACTCTGCAACCCCATGGACTGTAGCCCACCAGGCTCCTCTGCCCAGGGAATCTTCCAGGCAAGAACAGCGGAGTGGATTGCCATTAGTCAATCCATGTTAATATTGGTATGACCCTAGGGGGCCTGTCAGAAATAGAATTTTGTTTCTTCACTAGTAAATGGGTGTATGTTTCAGTGGCAGCTATCTGGGCTTCCCCGGTGGCTCAGGCAGTAAAGAATCTGCCTGCAGTGCTGGAGACCCAGGTTTCAATCCCTGGATCGGGAAGATCCCCTGAAAAGGGAAATGGCTACTCACTCCAGTATTTTTGCCTGGAGCACTCTATGGACGGAGGAGCCTAGTGGGCTACAGCCCATGGGATTGCGGCGGTAACATGACTGAGTGATTAACACATATGTAATACAGATCCACATCTTTTATAGTTTTTAACTTTTAATACCAGGGATTCCCTGGCCCTGGGAAGCTTTCTAGCGCCAGTCCTGCCCCCACCACAGGTTTTCCCATCATCCTCTGATCCGCTCCATAGCCCGACTGAGGCTGGAAGTTCGCAGATTACTCTGTTTCTTGGGTCTCTGCTTTGACCATCCTTTGGTGCAGACTGTTTCTGTCTCCAAAATCACATCTCTTCCATCAAGTCTCTCATCTTCTGTTTCATCTCTCTCACAATGATGAATAGTGCCTTTTGCTACAGCACATATATATGTCTGCCTTTGCATCATAACATTTTGTCATATTTTATTCCTTGACTATCTCATGCTCCTAACAGATAAGCTAATTAAATTCAGAATTCAGGCACACATCTCTGTATTCCCAGTATAATGCTTGGCACAAAGTAGGTATTCAATACATCTTTACTCGATGAATGAAAAAAATTGTACTTCAAACTATCTGACCTGATGCATATTCACTTTCTATGTAGAAATAAGTTCCTAACACTTGATAACCTTCAGCTTAGATTAATACAACAGTTCAGAAAAAAGTTATCGAAAACCTACTGGCATGAGGAAGGGACAGTCATCAGCTCTGCAGAGCTTGGTAACACAGTGCAAGAAGACAGTAGACATTTTCTGATTCTTGTGTTTCACAAATCGGAACACTTCAAAAGAAAAGCGGCCCCGCTGGCTTCTACCATTTTCAATGATGGTAGTTTGAGGATCTTTGTCACAGCTGCGTGGTAGAGAAAGTGAAAACAATTAATACTGGAAAATACCAACCCACCATGACTTGTACATTAATTTCTGCAATATTAAGAGGGTTTCCCCAGCGCCCATTACATTAAGCACTAACAAAATTGTGCCGTGTTACAGATTTGTAATAAGAAAATAAGCTAATCCAACATATATGTAGGAGTGACCATAGATCATAAAATTTAAACAAATCAGTTTATGGTTACAATATTTCTGCCAAATTTTAGAGGAATCATACTCTTAGAGGTTGAAAAATCCAAACAGCATAAAATATGCAAAATAAAACATCTCTCTCTGCATCTTTGCCCTCGTCCATGCCCTTCCAGGTCACACACAAGCCTGCCTGAGGTGACCTCACGTGTCACTGCAGCCTCGCAGGACACATGCAAACAGAAACAGGAGCACATATTCTCATGTTCCCCTCTTCTTAAACGAATCACAGCAAACTCTCTATACTGTTTTCTATCTTGCCTTTTCAAAGTTTAACAATGTAACTTAGAGATCTCTCTGTATCAATAGAGTCTCCTTCATCTTTTCTCACAGTTGTATACTATTTCATCATGCACATGTGCCAGAGTTGACTCAACCTGTGTCCCATGTATATACCCTTGCTTGTTTTGAATCTTTTCAATTTTACAAAGCAGTAATGAACAGCCTCACAATACATCATTTGGAAAATGTGCTGGGTTATCTACACAATATGTCTGTAAGGATCATTCAACAGACTTTGCCATATTGCCCTCTATGTAAGTATTGCCACATTTTGTACTGCCCCAGTAATGTATAAAAATACTTAATTTCCCTCAGAGCTACATCAACAAAGTATATGCATAGAATTCTGGATTATTCCCTATTTGACAGGGACAGTAAACCATCATCATGTAATATTATTTCACCTTTTTGTTAGTGTGAATGAATATCTGCATTTTTCATATATATGAGAGCCATTTGTATTTCTTTATCTGAAATTTGTTTATGTCTTTGCCCAAATTTTAATTGTATTATTGGCCTTTCCTTTCTGTTTCCTTTAAATCCTTGGTTTTTAAGAAATGTGGTTCCTTGTTTGTTACATAAATTGCAAATTGTTTTACTTTGTTGTTTGGCTTTGGACAGTCCTCACTGTGTGTGTGCCTGTGTGTATATGTGTGTATATGTTTGTATATATAATTTAATTTTAAATATTTTATTTTATGGCTTCTTGTATGTGTGCTAAAGATGATTTTCCATACTCCAAAGTTCTAATGATATTTTGCATCTTCTCTCCCACCATTTTTAAAGCTGTAGTTTTTACATTTAAATTAATAATCCATTTAAAGTTTATCACAGTATAATAAGCAAAGTACAGATCTCATATTTTATTTTTCTTATGATTACCTACTGTCCTGCACTGTTTTTAAAAATCTCTGTCAATCCCACTGATTTGCATATCATCACACTCTATCACCTAATAAATTACCATGCTTTGGATCTATTTTCAACTGAATATTGTAAATTTTTATCTACGTGTCTAGCCTCACATAATATCATACTTCTTAATAACTCTAGAGTGTCTATTAACTGCAACATCTGGTAGTATCATAACCTTCTCATTTCCTGTAGATTTCCTCCTTTCTCTTGTATTTTATGAATTTTGTGTTCACCTCTTTTTTCTTGCTTCAGTTAGCTTATGATTCTCTGTTCTTGTAGGCGTGCATTTCTCCAGGCTGTTTCTAGGTTCTGTGGCACTGGCACCCTCAGCATTCACTTTTCTTCCCCACTTCTCCGGCCACCTCGTCCCACACCACTTCCTCCCAGCCTCTTCCTATACTGTATGTCTTGATCTTATTAACTAATTTTATCAACACTAACAAATATTTTGTAATTTCTAGGTTTTCTTTTCTTCCTAATCTCACTGAAAATGTCATTTGGGGACCCATTTCAGACTCTATAGTTTCCAAAAAGAAAACTGAAAGAAGAACTAAGCTGAAACCATAGTCATACTAGAAGTCTAACGATCATATTCCAATTATAATATGCAATGATTATAGAAATTGTGAAATTTCTATATATTATAGATAAACAAAAATGTCAAAGCAAAATGATCCACAATCTCACTGTGCATCCATAACCATGGTGAATCTTTTGATGTATTAATATTTCCTTACATTCTTTTCTATAATATATCAGTCAGTCAGTTCAGTCACTCAGTCGTGTTTGACTCTTTGCAACCCCATGAATTGCAGCATGCCAGGCCTCCCTGTCCATCACCAACTCCCGGAGTTGACTCAAACTCATGCCCATCGAGTCGGTGATGCCATCCCGCCATCTCATCCTCTGTCGTCCCCTCCTCCTCCTGCCCCCAATCCCTCCCAGCATCAGGGTCTTTTCCAATGAGTCAACTCTTCGCATGAGGTGGCCAAAGTACTGGAGTTTCAGCTTCAGCATCAGTCCTTCCAATGAACACCCAGGACTGATCTCCTTTACGATGGACTCGTTGGATCTCCTTGCAGTCCCATAAATAAGGTCAATTGTACAATTGTGTACGCTGATTCTTTCATTTCATATTTTAATACATTTAAATGGTAAAGAACCACATATTTATAAAGACAGGACTATCAAGAAGACAGAAGAGGAAGAGATAAAATAGAAGCAATCTTTTTTTCTATTTTAGAAATATCTTTGTATGATTATAATGCCTATGTGAGCTCTCAACTTGCTGGTTCTCCATAATTCACCTACCCATTTCCTTGCTGCTGAACATGCAGTTGGTTCCTATTTTTACTATTCTAAATAGCACTGATAGATAAGAAGATGATAAATACTTTTAGAATATGCTTCCTAATTCACAAATGTAGAATCAAAAGATATGAAAGCTTTTAAGGATTTTTTTTTAAGGATATTGTTTCCCAAAAATGTTAACCAAATGAACACTTCCTGCAATAGGATGAGTGTCAGTTTGATCATACCCTCTTGAGTAGCTATGTAGAATCAAAAGATATGAAAGCTTTTAAGGATTTTTTTTTAAGGATATTGTTTCCCAAAAATGTTAACCAAATGAACACTTCCTGCAATAGGATGAGTGTCAGTTTGATCATACCCTCTTGAGTAGCACCTTAACCTTGATTAACCAATAAAATTTATTCTTTTGATTTCACATCATACTATTCCCATCATGTGTCAATGTGCAGTGATCAGAGCCGACTGCATTTTATAAGCATGATGAGAAGCCGTTGCTTGACTCTCAAGTCTGTTCTCCTGTCAGATAAAAACGCTGAAAAGGAGCTAGGATGACTGAATGTTTTTATGATCAATGTCCCTTTTTGCCAAATGTAGATTACATTCACTCTATCACTGTCTATTGGGGAATGAAGTCAAAGTTATTGGATCTGATTAAAAAAAAAAAGGGGGTGGTAGGTTTTCATTTTAAATGCTGATAAATGAAGAAAAGCATTATGGGGTCTAAATTATCCACACCATTACTTTAATTTTACTCTCCTTTTGACATACCAAGAGACAGTCTAGTTTCATAAAAATAGTCACTGCCTTTCTCTTATTGCCAATAATCTCCTAACCATGCTTTTCCTAAGACAATGAAATATTCCCATATGACCTAAACATGAATAAAACATCTTTGATGTGCCAAATTTACTTGTAACTTTCATCCAACAATAGCCTTTTCAGCATTTCATGTTGAAAACTGTTCTCCACTTTTACACTTCCAACTATATTTTAATTTTTGTTCAGAATGTAAAACTTTAAATTTATAAGCTATAAAAGTACCTTATAATTCATCTGTCTTCAGTTTTCTATTGGAATTGTCTACAATTTAATTATTGCTATCAATACAAGGCTTAGACACTAACCTAAGGAAGAGATCATATCGAATATCATCATTTGGGTTCCCTGATGGGGTCGTGTAGCAATAATCCATTAAGACATTCCATCTGCAAGGAAAAGGAAGAACAATCGAGAGTCAGAGTCTCCTTTGGATATTAGTTATTAACCCAAAGGAAGTAGATATTCACAAACATCTTACTCCAGGGAATATAGTTTTTTAACTAGTTATTTTCTGAGACTTCTTCTTTAATAAAATGTTCTCCTAAACTCAGAGTGTTTAAAAGTCTGCAACAAATTACCATCGCACATCAAGTATCACATAAAACCAAGAACAGAAATACCAAGAAGACAAAAAGTGAGAAAGCAAAGTAGAATCAAATTTCTCAAGAGCACCAATCTCTTCAGGATGCAAAGTTTAAATAATAATATATGAGAAACCCAAAATAAATCATATACATGTTATAATTTTTTATTAAGGTAGAAATGTATCTTTACTTTTGAATTTCCTTTCAATTTTGATCATTCTGGATTTTCTAAGAATCAGAAAAAATGACTAATTTGGTTATTTTGCAGAGATGTTTCTGGGGATTGTTATATATAGTTGTGGGCCAGAGTTCTTTTGTTTTTTTAAATAAACATTTATTGAATATTAACACACACATAGGAGGACTTCCCCTGTGGCTCAGCAATAAAGAATCCACCTGTAAAGCAGAAAATGCAGGAGACACAGGTGTGATTCCTGGGTCAGGAAGATCCCCTGGAGGAGGGCATGGCAATCCATTCCAGTACTCTTTCCTGGAGAATCCCATGAACAGAGGAGCCTGGTGGGCTATAGTCCATGGGGTCACAAAGAGTCAGACATGACAAGAGCAATTGAGCATGCAGGGAAACACGCACATAGAAAATATACAGGCCACGTGGTCACAAAATTACTGCAGCTGACTAAGCATCTTTCAGATGAAAAAGCAGAATATTCTGGTAGCCCCAGAGCTCTCCCCATGCCCTCTTCCAGTCACTACCTCTCCTTCTTTAAGGGAAGAAATGTTATTTTCCAGTTAATGACTTTAAGTATCACCTTTTCATCCTTGCAGTTTATTTCTATTTATTGAGTTCAGTTCAGTCGCTCAGTCGTGTCCGACTCTTTGCGACCCCATGCATCGCAGCACCCCAGGCCTCCCAGTCCATCACCAACTCCCGGAGTCCACCCAAACCCATGTCGATTGAGTCGATGATGCCATCCAACCATCTCATCCTCTGTCGTCCCCTTCTCCGCCTGCCCTCAATCTTTTCCAGCATCAGGGTCTTTTCAAATGAGTCAGCTCTTCGCATCAGGTGGCCACAGTATTGGAGTTTCAACTTCAACATCAGTCCTTCCAATGAACACCCAGGACTGATCTCCTTTAGGAAGGACTGGTTGGATTTCCTTGCAGTCCAAGGAACTCTCAAGAGTCTTCTCCAACACCACAGTTCAATTACTCCTTTTCCTATTTGGAACCAGTCTGTTGTGCCATGTCCAGTTCTAACTGTTGCTTCCTGACCTGCCTACAGGTTTCTCAAGAGGCAGGCCTATTAATTAGGCATTCCTAAATGGTGTGGCAATGACAGTATTTTTTTTAAGTGAATGAGCTACTAAGATTCATCAGGCTTTAGGCGGCCAAAATGTTTTAACCAACAAAAAGACAGGAGCTTGAAAATACCTGCCATCCAGATTAGTGGCTTGCACAGCTGCAAATACTTTGGTTTTCAAAGGTAGTCCTATACTCGGGATAATTAACTGCTGATTGTAGGTCGAATCCTAATAATAAAAAAAATAAGCAATTAATCCATCATTGCCTTCCCAACAACAGCACATTTACTTAAGACAATAATGTCCTATTAAAAAAAAGAGAGAGCAAATCAACATAAATTTACTGAACCAACTCTGAAAAGGACCTAGTTAATCCTCTAGTTTTTGGCAGAACTGTTCTTAAAGCATATCCAAGTAACAAACTCACTTCCATGCATAAATCTTTTCATGTCCATAGTTTATCATTTATGATGATGAATATTCAGTGTATTTAAATTATATGCAATGGTTACTAGTAAGAGGTTAGTATTTAGTTTGGCTAATATTCAGCTATTAATATTCAGTTTATTTAAATTCATATTTCATTTATTTAAATTATATTAGTAGCTAATATTCAGTTTATTTAAATTATATCTGCTTCAGTTTAAGCCCTTTGCTACTGGAGCTGTAAATCTTTATACTTTTAATAATCTCTTATTAACCCAAAGTCCCTTATCTCACAATTTTAAATTACCAGAATTTAATTGAAAACAAAAACAAACAAGGGACCAGTATGTTCTCCAAGTTGTCAAAAATGCATGCTATGGAATTCCTGTACTAGATAACATGGTGAGGACTTATAGAAGGATGTCTTAGGACTTCATTTCTACCTTTTATCCTTAGTTTAGACCAATTCTGCAGAGCTAATTTATATAATTCCCAAATCTACAGTCAATTATGGAAGCAAGTTAGAAATTGGTAGTAGAGAAAAGCAGGAAAAAAAATGAAGAATAAAGAAAAAATTTCTCAAAATCTAAGTTGTCAAATCATTTAGCATGGAGACAAACTGTTTCCCCCAAATTTAGTAACTCTGAAGATAAAGCTATTTTGCAGCAAAGGGAAATATTTAATGAAATCTCAACATCATCAAGCAAAGGCAGAATACACAGCTCCCTCTGTTTCAGAAGGCTGGGAAGAAACAACAGATACTGAATTTTGAAACTTAAAACAATAATAACTTGGATGCTTCACTTTTGAAAGAGTTGCATTCATGTGGAACATTTCATTCCCAAATAAAGCCTGATAAGTGAGGGATTATATGCTGTACTTATTTTCTGTATTTCTGTGATAAATGATAACAGCTCCTCTACCATTTCGCATAGGTAGTATTTTTAATTAGTTCTCTTCCTGGCTCCCTTTTTCAACGTCTTCAAGTTATACACACTTCATCGACTATTATGGCTCATTCATCTTGTACTTGCATCGGTATTGTCCCAAAGGATCTTACTTCATTTTTTTACAAATATTATATTATAAAGTCATTTGCAAATGATATGACTCAGCTATGGCTTAATCTTAATTATCACCTTTTTCTCCTAAAACTCTTCTAAACAGTAATGTTTAGATTTTATTGTGTATAGTTGCCTTACTCCTGTTAGTAAATATTATCCCTAAAATCAATTATATTCATTTTAGATTTCTTCTTCAACTTTAAAAATAATTCATCATTACCATATCCCAGTTTTAGATTTACTCTGTGTATCTGCTCAGAAGACACTATTACCTAGGTGCAATTCAAATTCAAAATCATCCTCACTTAATTGCCACAGAGAAGAAAACTAATCTATTTATATTATGCAAGAATAAGGGCCAAGGTCAACTCGAGGTAAACTGCACATATTGAAATCACAAAATCAATAAATGTCATTATTTTTTACAAGCAAAATTTTCCTAAGTACATTCAGTGAATCCCATAACACACAGAAATAATTGTACTGAATCCATATTCAGTACAACTTTTCCTTTTCAAATAGCTAACCACAGAATAAGAGTAATAGGTATGTAATATAACTTTTCATAATTCGCAAGGGTTAGAAATCAAAACCTTTGCATATAAAATAGGAAAATATGGCCCCAAATGGTTGTAACATAATACTTAGTTTGAAATGCTACAATAAAATCACATTTGGGTACCTAAGTGTTAGAGTTTCAAACAAATAATAAATATGGTTTTGGATAAATTCATTAAAATATACCAAAGTTCTGTTTAGTTAAAACTATAGTTTTTTCAGAAGTCATGTACAGATGTGAAAGTTGGACCAGAAAGAAGGCTGAACACCAAAGAATTGATGCTTTCAAATGGTGATGCTGGAGAAGATTCTTGAGAGTCCCTCGGAAAGCAAGAAGATCAAACCAGTCAATCCTAAAGGAAATCAAGTCAAAATATTCATTGGAAGGACTGCTGCTGAAGTTGAAGCTCCAATACTTGGCCACCTGATTTCAAAAGCCAAGTCATTGAAAAAGACCCTGATGCTGGGAAAGATTGAGGGCAGGAAGAGAAGGGGGCGACAGAGGATGATGATTGGATGGCATCACTAACTCAATGGACATGAATTTGAGCAAACTCCGGGAGATAGTGAAGGAGAGGGAACCCTGACATGCTGCCGTCCATGGGGTCACAAAGAGTCAGACATGACTTAGTGACTGAACAATAACAAAAATTTTTTTCCAGTATAAATTGCTAGTTTTTTTAATGTCCTGAAAGATGGCAAAATACTACAATGGTGCCAAGTTAAAAAATTAGTTTGAGGCAGTGAAATTCTTCTATATGATACAACAATAATGGACATATGCCATGCACAGTTTTCAAAACCCATAGGATATATAACATGAAGCATTAACCTAAATGTAAACTATGAAAATTACTTAATATATCAATATTGGTTCATAAATTATAAGCAATATGCCACATGCCCCATAATGCAAGGTGTAAGTAATAAAGGAAACTGTATGTAGGCCCTGGAGGTCTATAGGAATTCTCTGTACTTTTAGATCAATTTTTCTATAAACCTAAAACTTCTCTAAAAAAACAGTTTGCTGATTAAAAAAAAAAAAGACAAAACAAAAACAACAAGTTTGTAGGGAAGTGGTTGAGTTTTATCAGATAACTGTTTGGTAAGCAAATTTCAAATTTCAATGTGTTAATTCAACCATTAGTAATATCATTGCAAATTGGTTAAAAATGAGAANTTCTCTAAAAAAAGTTTGCTGATTAAAAAAAAAAAAGACAAAACAAAAACAACAAGTTTGTAGGGAAGTGGTTGAGTTTTATCAGATAACTGTTTGGTAAGCAAATTTCAAATTTCAATGTGTTAATTCAACCATTAGTAATATCATTGCAAATTGGTTAAAAATGAGAATGATTTTGATACTATGTATTTTGTTTATAGTCATAGCAAATAATTACCATTTAACTATCAAATTAAAATCTTAGGTTATCATCAAATTATAGGCTTTTATTTGGTACTAAGATTCTAGGAACTCTTTGAAGGATTAGGTCTAGTTTAGCAACAGGACTGCTATACTATTTCTAATGATAAAGGAAAGAGCTTAATAGCAAAGCTCTCCTCAAGTCCACACTTCTAAATTTTTATTTTCTGCTTTTCTACAGAAAGAATAGCTTAATTTCACAGAAAATAGTGGTATCCTTAAATGTCATGTGAGTATATTTTTCACTCTTTTAAGAACAGGAATTCTCATCTTTGCTTCAGTCAATTGTAACAAATAATATTGAATCCAGGGCAATCATCACAATTCTACCTCAGGGAGATTACACATATAAATTAACAGATAGAAACTTTCCAATTTAAAAATATTGCTTACAACAGTAATAAATATCTGGTCATATTAGGAATGAATATTGGCACATATTTGCTGAGTATTGTAAAACCAAGGATCTTGGCAGCTTCTCCTTGCATAAGAAAGTTTAGAAATGACAGAAAGGCAATCTTCATTCCAACACATTTTAATTCGTTGTTTAGAGCTCTGTGGTGTCAGACTACAAACTTATAAACATGATTTTTTAAATGCCTTTGAAAGTGCTCTACTACAATATTTATAGCTCATTATATGCAAAGTATAAAGCACTGACTTTTAAATCAGTTGCATGAATTATAACTCAGTGCCATGATGACATGAATAATAATGTAAAAATCAGATTCATAATTTACAAAAATGTTGGTTGATATATTGAAAAATTGATATTTAAATCAGGCATTTAAAATGTATGAATAAAATTTTTAATCAACATGAAAATATCATTTGGGGGATTAATGTTAGAGTTATAAATAGAAATTCATATATTTTTCACATTTTGCTGCCACTGTCAATATTTATATGACAAAAGTTTAGACAATGCTATGTAGTCAAACCCAAACTGTTTCAGATATGACAGAATTGACAACAGTCAAAACCCACACTGGAAATGTTAACACATTGAACACCAAGTATCTTGCCTTCAAATGAAGTATCTTTTGGACTTTTCCTATCTTTTTATCACAAATATATTATTTCCAAAATCTTGACCCTGACAATGTTTACACATACACACACATAAATAAATATAAACATATAAATGTAGATAGACACTTGGGGTAACTACGCAGAATCACATATATGAAGTAAAATTTAAATCATTTATCAACTTCTGTAAAATAATGGAGTTGTTAGCATACCTTTATCACTAAGATATTTGGAAATGGTGGTGAAGATGAATAAACATTACCAAAGTATAACAGTGTTAATGTAACTTTTGGTGGATTTTTATAGGAAAGCCATTCACATAAATGGTTCCTTAGATCAGTGAGAGAGAAAAATAACGTCCTTCAACCATCAGCTTACATTATAAAGGAGCAGGTTCAAAGTGCTGACAAATGTACCATTGTTCTCCCTCACAGAAATGGCAGCTGAGGACCTAAAACAGATGGAGGAAAAGGAAGGCACTGATGAGATGTTTAAAGTAACAGCTTCAAATAAATAAATAAAGTAACAGCTTCAGTCACACCTTAATGTTAGATTCAAGGCACCAAAACTCTTGAGCAATCCTGACATAACTAGGTCTGGAATGGGCATATTGTTTAAATCACTGAATAGATAAATAATCAAAAAGCAAGAGGGACTAAATAAAGGCAAACCTCTTTCTGATCTTTTCATTTATAAAGGAATCTTATTTTTACATTTTTATTACATATATGAGACTTGCAGGAAAGAAAAATTTATTCCAATAAAGTCTGAATTTAATGCGAATACATTTTCATCAATTCCATTTCTGTATAAGCTTCATGAGACCAGGAATTTTTTTACTTTTTTCACTGTTAGAACTTTGCATGGTACATATTAGGTGTATAATAAATATTTGCTGAATAAAGAAAAAATAAAAGTGAAGTCGCTCAGTCCTGTCCGACTCTTCGCGACCCCATGGACTGTAGCCCACCAGCCTCCTCCATCCACGGGATTTTCCAGGCAAGAGGACTGGAGTGGGATGCCATTTCCTTCTCCAAAAGTGAAAGTTGCTCAGTCCTGTCTGACTCTTTGTGACCCCATAGACCAATTCTCCAGGCCAGAATACTGGAATGGGTAGCTTTTTCCCTTCTTCAGGGGATCTTCCCAACCAAGGAATTGACCTGGGGTCTCTTGCATTGCAGGAGGGAATTCTTTGCCAACTGAATCATCAGGGAAGCAGCAACGAAAATGAAAGTTGTTCAGTCCTGTCCGACTCTTTGCTACCCCGTGGACTAGTTCTCCAGGCCGGAATGCTGGAGTGGGTAGCTTTTTCCCTTCTCCAGCATTTGTTCCCTCCTAGGAATTGAGGGTCTCCTGCATCGCAGGCAGATTCTTCACCAACTGAGCTATCAAGGAAGTCCCATTTAAATGAATGCATATCCACGTGCACTGAAGTTCAGAAATGAATTTAGTGAGGAAGTTGAGGGGAGCAGAGTGAAAGACTATGACCTATTTCTCTCTGCACCTGCTTCTTTTTGAGTCAAGGCCTTTGTTTTCTTGTTTTCCACATCAAAATCTTGCTTTTGACCAAGTTGTTTATCATAACTGTACCATTAAATTATCTATGAATATTTTTTAAACTGAAGCAAAATGTGTCCTCCATGTTCCTTTGTGACCGAGATTAAATAACAACTTTACTTTCATGAGAGAAAACCCTACAACTGAAGAGGGAAAGTTTTTATTCAATCACCCCATTTTGACAAAAATGTTTCACAAATCCATACGATTATATTGCAATATGGATGTAAACACGTCTTGGAGTGTGTGCCTTGGGAGTAATGAATGACTGTGGTAGTGGTGTAGTCGCTAAGTCTGATGCGACTCTTTGAGATCCCATGGACTGTAGTCTGCCAGGTTCCTCTGAACATGGGATTTCCCGTGGCAACAGGAGAGGATTACCATTTCCTCCTCCAGGGGATCTTCCTGACCCAGGGATTTTAAGCCTGCATCTCCTGCTTGGCAGGCGGATTCTTCACCACTGAGCCACCTGGAAGCCTCGATGAATGCACACCTAAACAAAAGGCAGTGAATCCATGTCTGAAGCTCTTTGGCTACGAGTGACACCACCTTTGCTGGGAATCATCAGCATCTGTGCGGGGACACCTCAGCGGGAGGCATGGAGACCTCAGATTCTGGGGCAGCAGCCCAACTGTGAGCACGTACGCAGAGACTGAGCCCAAGCAGGACCCAACAACATAGTGACCAAATGATCTACGCGCTGGAAACAGGACAGGTCCTCTGGACTGCGTGAGCCCCCAGGGTTCTTGGGTTCCTGGCGGTTCTGAAGCAAGCCAGGAGAACCAAAGGCAGATATTTGACTAACGTGAGCTAGGTTTAATTTAGGGAAAAGACAAACTGAACTGCTGATGTTCTTCAAAACAATAATAGTTATAGATGGATAAGTAGATAGATGCATAAGACCATATACAGTTTCCATTAGATTCAGTCTAACTTTCTCAACAAATCCTGCTATTAATATCTCTGTGAGTTCCTCAAGGATAAAAATGACCCAAATAAAAAGACAACATGAGAAAGTAAGAATAAAATGCCACTTACGAAGCAAGTTGGGTATTATTAACCAGGTATTCCAATGGATAACTACAGCTAAATTTGTAAAGAAGCCCAGGTAGATAGCTGATGATTGTTGGTGGGTCTGGAGTATCAATATATCCTGAAATATTTCCTATTTGTACTGAAGTTGCATTTCCGTAAGCACTGACTCCAGGAACTGTGGATACCTGTTAGAATTGCAGGTCAAGCTCAGTGATTAAATAGTTTCATATAAATCTGGCATTTCATATGCAAAATAAAACATTAGCTCAGATCATTTCCAGGTTCTGTTGCAACTATAACATGACATAATTTTGATATTATACACACATAATTCTAGTTATAAGTGATCATATGTCTTTTTTCCTCTCATTAAGAGGGTGATTTAATTTTTTAAATGAATTTTTATTGAAGTAGAGTTGATTTACAATGTTAGTATACAGTGTGTTAGTTTCTGTGATACAGCAAATTGAATCAATTATACATATATTGACTCTTTTTTAGATATTATTCCCATGTAGATCATTTCAGAGTATTGCGTAGAGTCCCCTGTGCTATACAGGAGATTCTTATTAGTTATCTATCTTATATATAGTAGCAGGCATATGTCAATCCCAGTCTCCCAATTTTTCCCTCCCTTGCCACTTTCCCCCTTGGTAGCTATAAGTTTATTTTCTACATCTGTAACTCTATTTCTGTTTTGCACATAAAGTTCATTTGTAACATTTTTTTTTAGATTCAACATATAAGCAGTATCATATTGGTCTTTCTCTATCTGACTCATATGTTTCTTTTAAACAAATAAAGCTTCATATTACCAGAGATGGTTTACTCATATTCATAAATAAGAAAGGAGAGAAACTATATGTTACTTGTTGTGCAAGAGCAAGTAATTTGAAAATGCTTATGGGGAAAGCCAAATTTCATAGCCTGGACTAAAAGCCCCCTGTTAATATGATCTTGTTTTCAATGTTTGCTTCATATCTCCAGGCTCTCATTCTTGGTTAGTAATGCCCCAGCACCAAGGCCCTTGTTGCTCTGGCATTTGTGCATATCCCTGCCTCCTCTCTGGCCCTCTTCACCACAACATATCCTACTTTTCCCCTGGATCTCATCTTCCTTGGGAACTTCTCCCAACTCCCCCATACTTTCTGTCTCACAGAAGCAGTCACAGTGCATGAATGGTCTGACTCAGCACACTTCCATCCATAATCAGAGCTCTTCGCAGGCAGGGGACCCTCTAGGTCTTATTTGCCTTTGTCCCTTCAGCATAGCTCAGTGACACCAGCATCCTGGGGCCCTTGAGATAAATTTTAAACAAATGAATAAAGGTCACAAATTTTCTGATGGTCAATCTCCTTAGGGTACATGGAGATTCTCACCTCCTTTCAGGGCAACAGTTCACAGGGATGTTGCAGAGGGATCATGAACTCCTAGAATTTATATAAAAATATTGTCCATGTGTGTATTCTCTTGGGACTGATTAGTTTTCATTGGATTCTCCAATTCCAGTAAAAATTAATAACTATCATTTCAGGAATTGTCAATATTTTTTTTTACACTTAACACAAATGATTTTATTGCTGTTGTTCAGTCGCTAAGTCATGTCCAACTCTTTGCTACCCCATGGACTGCAGCACACCAGGTTTCCCTGTCCTTCACTGTCTCCCGGAGTTTGCTGATTCATGTCCATTGAGTTGTTGATACTATCTAAGCATCTCATCCTCTGCCACTGATTTTATTATATGTTAATATCTTAATTAAAAAGTTAATATAAAATCCAAACATTTAAATTGCAATTCTGAATCTGAAATATCTAGAATAAGTCAAAGAAGGAAGGCTTTCAAAAATTGAGGCCTTAAAATATGTTACCATAGTTATAGATGTTTTTCAAGTCTATAACGAGCTGAAGGTTTTTCTGATGAAATATTGTTTGGGTGAAGTTGACATCATACATGATATTGGGAAGCACTAGGCTCACAGTTGGGCTTCCTCATAGCTCAGATGGTAAAGAATCCACCTGCAATGCAGGAGACCCTGGTTCGATTCCTGGGTCAGAAAGATCCCCTGGGGAAGGGATAGGCTATCGACTCCAGTATTCTTGGGCTTCCCTGGTGGTTCAGCTGGTAAAGAATCCAGCTGCAATGCGGGAGACCTGGGTTGGATCCCTGGGTTGGGCAGATCCCTGGAGAAGGAAATGACAATTCACTACAGTATTCTCACCTGGACAATTCCATGGGCACAGGAGCCTGGCAGGCTACAGTCCGAAGGGCTGCAAAGAGTCGGACATGACTGAATGACTCAGCACTAAGGTTATTATTGCCCAAGCTCTCTGTTCTCATTGTGAATTACCAGGTAGAGGGTCATCACCTGAATACTTCTTTTATCAACAGTGATTACTAGCAGGAGGCTTGTCAAAACTCAGGCTCTCCAGTGAGACAAACTTTATATGGACCTATGATCATTAAACTCTGAGGATTTTTTAATCATGGCAACATACTATTTGAGTCAGCACAGGCTATGTAATATTGCAATAACAATTCAACCCCTATATCTCAATATATTAACACAACAAAAGTTCATCTTTTGTTTATGCTACATGTCCAATGCAGTTTGGTAAAGGGGGTTCCATTCCAAGTGTTTACACAGTGTTTTTGCCTAAGACTGGCTCTATTTCCTTGTAGCACTGCCATCTCAGCATGTGGCTTCTAGTACTGCTAAGACAGAAAACGCCAGAGCTAGTAGGTCAGGCAGAGGCTTTTGGCTGTGCACATGTCAAGTTCAGTAACAGTCTACAGGACTGAACCTGTTACAAAGCCCGCGCTAGCTGCAAAGGGCCTGGGAAGGATAGCTTTCCCTGGGCTCGTGGAGAACTAACAATTTTAACATCAATAATGTTCTTGGCCATCATAATACCGCTGAACTTCTCCCCCCATGTCAAATACAATATGCTGGTCAATTAATATTTTAGCAGCTATTATGGAGACCTGTAACATTTAATTCTCAACAAGAGAATACACTTTATACATGGATCTAGGAGCACGTGGGCAAAGCTGAAGCAATTATCTAGCTGATTCACGAAGAGAACCAGAATCCTTATGAAAAAACATTTTGATTCTAATCCATATGATTTAGTAGTCAACTTAATTTTTCCCGTATAGAACTGTCCTTGGAGCAGATACCAAGGCTGGTGATATCTAAGACAAAAATATAAACTAAGTAAATCTTCCTCTCTACACATTGCCTGCCTGCCTGGCTAGCTAAACATGCAAATTCTATCTGTGAAAAAAAAATATATGTGTGTATACACATACATGTACATTACAGTTTTTATACCAGACTTATTCAGTTAAAAAAAAAACACAAAGAAATGATACATACACACCACACACACACACACACACACACACACACACACGGGTGCTTTGCCTGGCATTTCTCCGGAACTGTTCTCTTTTTTTGGCAGCAGGGAGCAGGATAAGACTGAACTGGAGAATAGGAAGCTCCCTGAAGCAGAGTCCTTGTGGGGAGGGGCAGTGCGGCTCCTCTCCACGTGGGCTCCCTCCCTTCTTCCCTGCGTCCCTCTCTCCCTTCCTTCCCCCTGCCTCCCTCCCTCCCTCCACAAGGAAGCCAGGATGTGTAATAATCAACCTGCATCACTTCCCCTCACTCTCCCTCCGGCCCACTTCATAACCTCTCTGCACACAACCGAGAGAGATGAACAAACGTTTTTAATAAAAAGAGTCAACAATACTCAAGCTGTATATTTGGAAACGGTCATGGGCACAATATTCTAACTGCCCTCTGAGAAAAGATAAAGGAGATTCAAAGAAATCTCTTTTTCCTGTCTCCTATCTCCCATCAAGTCTTAAAAGCCCTGCCCTCAGAATAATCAAGAGGAAAAGCCAATCTCTCCTTCTTTACTGGCCTAAGTAGACATGTTCAATAAATCTTCTTTTTGTCTTTGCTAGGCTTAACCAATAAGACTATATTTAAACAAGCAAAAGGAAAAACTGTTTTAAATAAATTTTAGCCTAACACCCCCACCAAATCACAATTATCTTTTACTTCAATTAATTTTTAATTCCCAGGACAGTGGATGCCTGTTACACTTCTATTTTTGGTATTCAGTACATGAATAAATAAATGAATAGTGTAGATAAGTGGTTCTCACTCAAGGTGGAAATATCTGAAGTAGTGTTTTAATTTTCACAATGACTGGATGGAGCATGTTGCAGGGATTTCACGGGTAAGATTGGGTATGTAAACATTTTTTAATTCAAAGGATAGATCCACAGTATGAAGAAACTCATGCTGGAAATGCTAACAGCCCTCTTTTACAAAACAGTGGTGTGTCGCATTCAATGGTAAACAGGATACCTAGAAGATTCTAAGTTTCTCATTCAATATTCCATCTTTCTTCCTGAATGAGGTCACTAAGAAATAATAGGCCAAGTGATTCATTGCCAAACTCACTGGAATATAAAAGATACTTCCATAAAAAGCAGGAGGAACACAGCTAATGAAAAACTGTAGAGAAATACTCCTCAATGTCACTCATACAAAATAATGCTGGTTAGAGTAGCACAGTTAATCTCAGGCCCCTCAACCACCAGCTACAATAAACAGAACCACTATTGGAAAATGAAATCAGATGTGTGGGAGCTGAAGCCTCAAACAGGCAAAGGAAAGTGGTTTGTTCAGTTTTATTGGGGTTTTGTTCTTAAAAGATAGATTGGGTTTCTGATTGTTTCATGATATGGGGACTTTTGTGTGTGTGTGTTTTTCTTTTAGTTATGATCCCCAAACCTAGCACATGGTTTCACTCTAATCTTACCACTAAATTGTTTCCACAGCCCTCCAAGGTGCTGAGATTGATGATGAAAATGACCACAGCAGGAAAGGTGTTGTTATTGATGAAGCCCCTGCAGTGAGAATCCCCATGCCTTCCGTTCAGGGCCAGATCTGCTTCAGAATACCCGGAGAAAAGAACTGTGCAAAAATTAATCTTCATTGTAATGGCCTGGACCCCACAGTAGACATTGATGTCTCTTTCAGCTGAAATAGAAAATATAAAAAACAAAACAAGTCACAAAAGCAAAGCACAGGGTCCAAGAATAACTTTAACATCCTCCAAGGTATTTTCATCCCCTCTGTCTAACAGGCTCATGTACTCGAACACACCATAATCCATAACATCCTCTGAGGTATTTTCATCCCCTCTGTCTAACAGGCACACCATAATCCAATGTGAAAGTGTTAAGAAAAATACCCAGAAAAGCAGTGGTTGACTTAGTTATTTCCGGAGAGATCTTCGAGTGTCAATTTTATATTTAATCTCTGTCTCCTTGTGCTTGGTATACAGTGGATGCGCATTAAATGTCGGTCGAGTGGTGTAAAATGATTGTTGGAGAATTGAGTGGAAAAAATTAGGTCGCTGAGGAAATTCAGAAGAAAGTAACTGAATTATTTAGAACACATGTCTAGAGTAGCGAGACTCACTACAGATGATGCATCTTCCCAAGTGTAAGGAAGAAATCTATCCTAAGCCGAAGCGTTGAGCACCTTGGTGTTTTGTAACCCATCTTATCCAGGATATAGAAACAGAAGCCATCCATCCAGATTGTTTTATTTTACTAAGCTATGCTAGAGTGGAAGAAAATGAAAACTAATCTGTTGATATTTCATTCAGGAATGCATAGTCAACCCTAAAAAAATTTTCCAGTGACTATGACTGAATTAAAGCAATGAACTCAGCATTAAAATGTAAGACAAATTTGCAGTTTTCCTTGATCCCATGAGTTATCAGCGATGGGATCCACTACAGGTCTACACAGGTGAGCAGGCATGTCTACACACACACACACACATATGCACACACACATGCACAACATTTTTTTATATTTAGTTATTTTTCTACATGTAATGAAGAAAATATATGTAAAAAATTGCAAATTCAACTGCTGCTAGGTAATTTCGCAGTGGCAGAAGCTCTTATTTTACTGGTTTTGGTAACAGCTACAGGTTGAATTGCTTCCCTCCCTTCAGGAAAAAAAAAGAAAAAGATACATTGAATCTTAACCCCCAGTACCTTAAAATGTGACCTTATGTGGAAACAGGGCTATTGAAGTTGTGATTAGTTAGGATGTGTTCATACTGGATAGGGTGGTTTTCTAACTCAATATGATCGGTGTTATCGTTTGAAGAGACAGAGGTACAGGAGGAAAGCCATGTGAAGACCAAGAATTGCAGGGATGCACCTAAAAGTCGAAGGAACTGCAAAGGCCGCCAGCAAACCACCAGGAGGAGGCCAGGAAGAATTCTGTTCAGAGTCTCAGAGGGAGCTGAGCCCTACTAATACCTTGATTTTGAACTTTTGGCCTCTGGAATTGCAAAATGATAAATTTCTGTTGTTTCAAGTCACTCTCCTGGCACTTTGTTACAGCAGACTTAGGAAATTAATACAGTGACCTTATCACTCTTTACCACTCTTGCTATTGCCACTGGGATAAAGAATCTGAAACATACAACTGGTTTTCAAAATGCGAAAAAAAAAAAATTGGATTAGGTTATTTGGAGAAAACACCTTAATTGTTCCAAAAAGGTAAAGCAAGCAAAATAAAATATTTTTGGCTAATGATCTAAGTAATATGTAAATCCCACCCATGATTTTTTAGCATAAAGTAAATTTTCTTAAATATATCAGTTCTAGCCTCAAGGTAAAAATGTTCAATGGCATATTTCTTTGGATTGTTTATTCTCTATACTGGTTTTTGTTGGTAAAGTGAGTCACATTTTGAGGACATGAATAAATTAAAATGGAAATTTCTATGTTTGATTATGATTTTAAACTCAATACAAAATTTTTAAATTTTTCATAGTGAAAGAAAGATGGAAAATCTTTTTTATGGCCCAAAGGCAAATATTAGACTAGTTCTTATGGAAAACTCCAAGCAATATTCCCTTTGTAGGTGGAAAATAAAAATAATTCATTGTGAACTTATACTGTGCCAAGATAGAATATAATAAATACCATTTAAAATTCAGAGAATATATCTATTAGCTTTCAAAGACAGTAGCTATTCAAATGCAACTATAATTTTTAAATGATGCTCTTATTAAAATAATGAGTCCTTTTTAACAAATGTTTAAGTGTTTCAAACATTTAAACTTCAAATTACCTCTTAAATCTGTTGATTTTTCTCCATATTGTTCCTTTGCACATGTAACCATTATCTTTTCTTTTAGAATATTACATTAACTTCCTAACTGGTTCCTTTATTTCTGCTCTTCATGCCCTCTGATTAGTATAACTGTTAAGTGTGAATCTAATCATTTTATTTCTCTGGGCAGGTTTCCAACAGCTATTCATTTCATTCCAGCCAAAAGTTCAAATCTTGAACCAGCTCCTCAAGATTCTCTGTGGCCCACCACCTACCTACCTCTGCATTCTCATCTCCTCTCTATTATCCTCTCGGTCTCTACAACCATTTCATTGAACTTTTTTCAGTTCTTTACATGTATCTAAGTGACAGAAGCCAGAATAGTGGTTACCTCTGCGGAGGGGCGGGGGGG